CACGCGAAAAAATAGCGTATTATAAATTAAAGAAGCTAATGTGTATTTTTTACATCAAAATAGAATCAATTTACGAAAAATTATTTTCTTCCAAAAGAATGATTTACAATATTAAGCTACCAGAACACTTGGATTTCTTTTCGCACGGAATAGTTGTAACACATGTTCGCGATGGTAAAAAGAATCAATTAGATCGGATCTAGAAACGAGCGAGATCAATATACCTTGAGTATTCGAAGTACTGATATTTACAGCGTAATTAACGATTGAAACGACACGGATTGTCACGGGGTTTACTGGAGATCTCGTTCACTAGTATGTTTCTCGTACGCGCAGAAAATAAGCGAGTGTTCCGTAAATTTCTTACGATAACATTTCCGTGACTTATTACAGCAGCAGGCGAGAAGCGTTAGTGGTGCCGTGTCGACTAATGGCGCCATGTGGCTAGAAAATAAGAAGGCATAAGTAAGAAAACGTTACAAATCCACCCCACCGTATTGGATGCCGCATCGGCCATAACGTTAAACGACAATATAGGACCAGCGCCCTTCGTCATGCGAAAGACCGAAACGGCCTTACCCCATTAAATGTACTTATATGAGATACTAGCCAGTGGGCAGCCAACCGCGCATCAATCACGATAATAGGACAATAAATATCTGACCGGCAGGCGACTGCCCGGCTAAGGTCAAAAGTGCAGTAGCTTGCAATTTCTACCCGATTTCCTGCCGATATTCGCTCGCAATAACTCAACCTTCACATCTGTAATATGTAATCGCTCTCCTACCGTGGTCTAAGCCTTGCATTAAAGTGTCACGCTGATCCAACCCCTTTCTACCCTCTATGTCAAAGTATGCAGTACTCTGTGCAACAGTTCGATAGTTTACTGGCAAGATTTGTCGCTTCCTAGCGCTTACTATGTAGGCTGCAAAAGGCAAAAACGGATCTTACACTTAATTAACCAGAAAATTCCTCGATTTTGTTTACGCGATAGTATGAAAGCAATAAAGAATTCTGACTTTTCTTATGTCACGTTCATTCATGGGTATAGGAATGTTTCTTTAGCAGATAATATCAGGATTATTAGAAATTATGAATTGTTATATGAGAATTAAAATAAGTAAGACCATATAAAAAATGGAGTAATTATAAATTATATATTAGATTTTTATTAATTACATTTTAATATTATCACTAATGATGTTAATGTTTATTTATTATGTGCCAATTTTTGCTGATATTTGTTATTATATTATATAATTTGTTTTTATATATTTTAAAAAAATTTTATTAATTAATAAAGAGTACTTTAATTTTTGAACTGTCAGACATTAATCCTATAATTTGTTATGTTAAATTAGAATTCAAATAGGAATTTTTATAGAATTTGAAAAAATTCTTTATAGAAACATTTTATTTCTTTGCATCTACTTTTATTATTTGTTTATCAGTCATTTTAATAAAAATCAATTAAAAATATAACTTTTATCTTTATATAAAAATATAACTTTTAGAAATCGAACAATGAAATTTACAAAATAATACAAACATGATTGCTTAATAGCGTATGAAGTATCGTTAATTGTCATTTTATGCGACAGTTGGAATACTAGGTTGACCTCGTTTTTTGAGCGGGTTATTCAAAACGGAAGTTTAGATATACGCGCCTAAAGTAATACGAAAGTGGCGTATCGGACGGAAACTTCACCCTTTAATATATAAATATGGCAAAGAGGTGGGGCTCAGCATAAGGCGCGTGTACATTAACTGTTCAAAACTACGACATGTAAACTTGCTTTCCTCCTCTATAAACCATAAAACAACGAGCTCTGGACCGGCAGACGACCTCGCAACCCGCTAACTATTAAAAGTTGCAAATTGCTGCAGACACACTGCGGGCCCCATGTTCGCGTACCGGCCGTCTTGGGCACTCCCGCGCGTTCGTCCTATCCTAACTTACTTACCAGACTTACTCACTTTCTTACTTATATAGTCACTCGTTTACTTACTTATTCCACGCTTCGTATTCCTTATCCTTCGCACTTTTCCGTGCCGCGCTTTTTCCTGTTAACATTACTTGTCTTGTCACACATATACCTTCACACATACACCCAAACTTTTTTTTAAACAACTAGTCTAGCAGAAATCCCAAGTAATGTGAGTGTTGAAAGTATCGAAATAACTCATACAAATATTATTTTTTATTATATTTATTAGAATTCAGTTGTGATGCAATAACTATTATCTTTTATTATTCAAGCCACAACGAACGAACCTATCACCGTTAGAAATAATTTATATTTGAGATTGTTATACATAATAGACAATAACGCAGATTATTTAACTTCTGTACACACCGGTGTTCAATATACTATCCGGCAAACTATTTGCTACGGTTAGTTTACCGTTTAGTTGCGGCGTCCCAATGTCGCTTCCAAATATATTTTGTAAAATAGTTTACGATGCGCGGCTGGCTGATAATCGTACAAAGCACGCGTGGGCGTAAATGCTTTATCAAGCGGGACGGAATATTTTGCCTCTATTCGAACATTTCGCCATAATTCGGTTCAATTATCATTCGATTATATCGATTTTAGAGGTGTGCATTTAGCATCAACATACAAATGCGGGCTCGTGAAATTACAAAAAATATATCCGAGCGGAGACGCAAATCCTACGAACAGTTAAACCAAAAGCTTATCAAAATCGAATATATGATAATTCACATCAAATTCTTTAGCATATGTGTTGTAAAATGCGTGCTCTAATAAAGAATTTTTCTTCCTGTTTCACTTTATAACAGAATTTATAATAGAATTTCTTCGCTTTACTGCATACCGATAGCTACAAATTGTTAATTACGTCCGACTGCATCGTGTCAGCTTCATAATGAAATGTTAAAGCCGCTTTTAAAAATTACTGGCAGAAACTCAATAAATTTATCATACCATTAATCAACATATATGCATTTTCATGTTAAAATACATTTGATGCGATATATTTCGTGCACTGTAATTTTACGCAGACAATTTTATTGTTATCTCAGTAAAAAGCAAGAAAAAATACTGGTTGGAAAAACTCTGGTACATCGAGTTTTGCTGAATATAATTTGACTTGAATAACAAAGGCGCATAAAAAGAAACATTATCGTTCGATTGTATGGTCTTTATTAAAATAAGCGTCTTTCTAATTGCTGCCATCTTAAAACGTTGTTTTATCTCAGCCTATGCATCAGTTTCATAAACCCTCATAATTCAAGAGAGTTAAATATCGTACCTGCCAGAGATTGCACGAACGATGCCAAGGGTTGAACTATGCCGACGGCCAAGAAAATGAAAAGTAACGATTCAATATCAACCACGCGGGTTGCGTGTAGCGAATTAACACGTACTGATACGGCTGGTGTGTCGTCCACGTTGGTGACACCATTCTTCCATTAACCCTGTCTACATTTTCTGCGTATCGTGCGCGTGGCTTTTATTATCCGTGCACTTCGGCCGTAACATTTTACTATTTCCTGCTTATATCATGCTCGTGAAATCTATCACACATTAATTGGTAATAGGATTACGTAGAGAAATGAAATGACGTAACTGAAGGATGTATCGTAAAAATTCATTTTAGTTTTAATTAAAAATATATTTAAATAAAATGTGAAACGTACGTAGTTAATGTTGTTAAGAAAAAAATTTTTTACCGGATAAAAACGATATTATATTTTGAGAAAAATTCATATTGATATTAAAATTTATTAAAATGGCGAGGTAATATGTCGATGAATTTAACACATGTTTTTATATTGAATTTTCCCAGAGGGCTTATTAATTGCCAATAACATTTCATAAGAGATACATGTATTGCACACCGCACTGTCTGAGAGAGACTAATATGTTGTCGATAAAATCGATGGATTTCTATCATTTAGCATATTTTCTGTTAAAGTACCTTCTGACAGAAAGAAAATATCAACTCATGATGGGTGCACGCGTAATAGTTTAGTTACTATACATTCTGAATTAATTTGTCTCTTTGTGAACGCGGTTTCGTTATAAAATTTAATACAGCAAAACTTATTCTGCGATTCGCTCTTGGTCTCGTCGCTTTTACGTACCTTCATTTTTTCTGGGCCGCGATCGATTCCGCTGAAATGACTTTTACTATCTATCGAATATCTGCGATGCTACGAGCGAGTACACCGTGATGCATAAAGAATCCAGTTTACGGCGTCTGTTAGAACTCGACGATACCCGACACGTCCCATTTCCGCCGTCTGACGTCTTCTCCAAAGTGAAACCACTTCCTCGCTGCCGGAATCTGCAGATCCGATTTAGAAGTAATGTGATCGATTCTCCTAAGTTTGTCTAAGAACTTCGGTGGCTCTAAAAGTCAATAGCAATGCAGAATATAAATCTATAAAAACAGTATTACGAATGAAGAAATGAGCTAGCTTTATATCAGATTAAATGAATTCCAAATTTAATATGATTTAAAATATCGTATTCATTATTTATCAAATTGTAGCAATTACTCTAACTATTGTAGAATTAAATATTTTTTTATTAGATTAAACATTTAATTAGTTGAAATAGAAATAATATTCTTTTCTATTTATTATATATATATATATATAACATATATGTCTCCTCTTGTATATTCCAAATGTTTTGTCTATTCAACTGGATTACAAATTATTCCAGCATATTAAAGTATGTTATATATAGTAAAAAAAACTTACTAAACATTGATATTAAAGTTTGATTTTTATAAGAAGAATTTTATCTTTATTTTATAAATTTACAAATTTTTACTATATGCGATGTAATCTTTCTCTCTTCCTCTTCTCCCTCTGTCTTCCTCTTTCTCTTTTTCGAAAAGATCTTTGACATGTTAAATTTATTTATGTAGTACATATCAATATTTCTTAATCTTCCTGACAAAATTATGTCCTTTTTCATTATCACGTAGCATTAAACACATTCTTTGTATTTTTAATGTTTCAGGAGATGAAAGTTAATTGGGCGACGTCGCCGGGTAACCAACCAAAACAGGACACGAGCAGTGAGTATGCCCAGTTTCAGATTTTCGCCTTTACACGAAAAATATTTTTAGCACCGTGCGTTTTGCCTTTGATCTCATACTTGCTTGACTTGTTGGACTCGCATACTAATTGGTCCGAGCAGAGAATTACTCTAAAAGAGAATTTTTTAAAGCTATCTCATTGCAAAGTAAAATGCATTTTTGGATAAAGTATAATGTATGTTATGCAAAAATATTGTGCATAAATATTTGTAAAATTTTATTAAACAATACAATAATATAATTGAGTAAAGTTGAATAAAGAGGTCAAACAATTTGATCCGTTATTTTCATATTAATTTAATATATAATGAAATCTTGCAATATTAATATCTAATTTTAGATATAATAACATTTTACATATCTAATTTTAGATTTGTAAAAATTTATTGTTACTTAACTGTAATTGAAGAGAATACAGATCATTTATTATTTCAATATTAATACAATATATTTTTATGCAATATGATTCTCCACATACATTATTTATTAGAATATATAAAACAAATAGGAAAGAAAGCTTTAAACAGTCGAGTTGATTCTTTAATGCTTAAATAATTCAATTTAAATTTATATACTCACATTCAATCCTGCAAACTGTGCATCGAATTTAATATTGAAATATACGCCAATATGAAATATGTATGGATACATTTATGTTATTACAATTAATTTATTATTCTTATAATGCTTATAGCACACATATAACTTTTAAAATCAATTATTGTTTAATGCTACAATTAAAAATATATCTCTAAATTTTTCATTATGTAGCTATAGAAACTGGAAGTTTAAGAATACAAATACATTATTTACAATAGTCAGATAACACTTTCAAAAATATAAAAAAAGTTTGTTTTGTTTTATTGGCTTAATTGTCATTTACTGTTCAAGTATTGATGTATATATTATTTTATAAAAAGAATTTTATATACAAATTTTATATATGGAATTCTGCATAAACCATCATATTTTCTCTTTTAATAATTATTTCACAAAGCCCATTATCGTAAAATAAAGATTAAATTAATTTACCAACTGAAATAAAATAATTCAATACCAGTGACATTAAATTAATATTCTGTTATAAAAAATGTTTATTAATCGTTAATAATAGCCTTTTACTTTGATTCCACGCAACTATAATTACTCGCATGTTTAATTACATAAAATATTAATCGAATGTTTAATGTCGACTAATGTTTGACACTTTTATTACCAGTATATACATTGGCGATGAAAATTTCTACGTAGAAATTTTAATGTACACAATTTCGTAGAACAAATTCACATTATGTGTAAATATAAATGATTTTATTAAAAATGTGCTGTGCGTTTTTTTACTATTCATGTGTGGACATAATATTTTTATATAAAATACTAAATCTTTTGTATATATTTAAAAAAAATTACATAATGTTTAAGTAGTTAAAAATAGCTATTAAAAAATGTCTAATTAGCATAGAAGTCAATTCTGGAAATTCTCGTCACAATCCGACAGGCTATTATAATTTCTGCATTCGATTTAATATATTAAAAATAAATTTTCCAGCATCTCGCAGCAGTGTATAATTTTCAACGACTATGTCCCAGTTTCCTTATCGTTAAAAAGAGAAATTGTTGGAATATTATCTCTAAAACGTACAGCGAACATAAAATGATCAATGGTTGAAATTATTTATCCATCGTGATAATGCATATTTGCAATTTTATTTCTGAGTAAATAAAATTATAAATAAAATTAGAAAAAAAATGTTCTGACGTATAACATTCTATTTATTCTAATAAAAAATAAACTTAATATATAATATTATCTTTTGTAAAAATCTTATTAGCACAATTACGACATATTTTCTTATAAGTTTCATCGCAGTTTTTAAGTGCACAATTATAATTTTGTCGTAATCATGTATAATTTATTATTTCAACGTTTGTGTACGTAGATAAAGCATAGGATATTCAGTGAAATGGGACTTGGTATAACACAGTTCCATGTATTTCTAGAATAACTTCTACGCGTAAGGCTGTCCAGTACAGCGGTAGTTCGGGATTAAGCGTACGTCCCTTGTGATAATCTCTTTTGCTTCCTGTGTCTGGGATCCCTAGAGAATCAGCCATAAACCATGAAACCCGTCATAACTACTTTCTTCCCACGATCTCTGTATGCTCGTGCGCGTTGGAAGGTTGATATAAATGCAGATTATGCAATGCAAACTGGACGAATTAGGAAAGATTTTTAATTTTTTTTTTTTACAAACATTTTTTTTTACACATACGTCGCCCATGTTTATAGGATAACGAACATTATAGGATGTCATGTTTATTTATATACACAACGCAAACTTATTTGAGAAAATTCATTGTCAGTTATACAACATTGCGTGAACGATACGAATGATGAATGAAATTCACTAGTTACATTTCCAAATCGACATCGACTTTTGCGCATGGTCCGAGCGACTTGAAATAATTTAACAGGCACGCACATGACGGCCAAATAAATATCACAGGAAGATTCCTCCCGCCATTCCATGCTCGTTACACGTGTGAAAAGGTGCGCGGTCGCATCTCTGTAGATGCGCCCTATTATATATGTATCGGTGGCGGTCGTACGCGTGTGCGTGCTTGAAATTCAGTGAGGGCGGCAGCAATATTTAACTCAGTCTGAAATTCCTCTTTTTATGGACTTGTAAAACCGTGACAGGCACATGGGACCCGATCCTACTTCACCTCCCTCCCGTTCTTCGTCCCTGTCGTTTTGCCCACCACCCCTTGTTGCTACCTACATCCCCCTCGCTCTCAAGCGCGCTGACGCGGTTAGATAGCAGTCTCGTATCTCTCTTGTCGTCCTCTTTTCCATCGCCGGTCGACGCGACGGTCCGCTACTGCGTATACCTACCTACGATCACACCTTCTCCACTTCCCTTTTTCCTTCGGCGTCGCTATCCACTCACGCGTACCTACCTACCAGAGCACTTTCCTCTCTCTCGAAGCACTATTTCTCCTCGGCGACAAATGCAAAACTAAAACGTATTCTCCTCTCTTCTATTCTCTCTGTAAATATGCCGGTATAGCTGCCAGTATGGCCAGAGTTTTCTCTCCGCTTTTGTTTCCTACCGCCTCTTCCTCCCCATCGCCGCGTCCGTCGTCTACCTTTGCCATCCTCTTCACGATCGTATGTATACAGCATTCGGCGAATGGATACAGGGGGTGTCATGCAGCTGCAACTGGAACGACGGGTTGTTTTACTTTTCCGCTAGAGATTGCTAGTAAACTCTACCGTCGATGCACCTGCGCACATCTTGCGGCTATGACTTTTACGTCGCGCTTGCATGTAAAAATATGTTAGTTCAAAAAGCTGATAAAATAGAAGAACAATCTTAACATGTATCAAGCATCTTTTCTTTTTATTTCTTATTAGAAAATTATTATATGATTTTTATTTTCTCTAAAGGAAATACAATTGAAAAACGTTATTATGATTAAAAATTTGCAACTGCGTTGAAAACTCGGTTGTATATCATTATTTCATGATTTTTTCGTTTGTTTATGTAGACTTTTTTTGTGTTATGTTATCATAATTTTCGTAATTTTTTACTGGGAAAATGTATTTTCTTTATTAATTCCCAAATTAATTTATTTATTGATTTCCAAAATATTAACAAAGGTTACTTTAAGTTTTGGGAATCGCTAATTTTAGTAGGTAAACTGCAAAAAATTGAACATAATTTCTTAATTTTCACATAAAGCTCAGAAATATACTGTTTAAAGTGAAGAAGTTTGTAACTCATAAAGTGTAAATCGAACTAAAATTTTGACTGCTTGCTGCGGATTGAAACACATTTGTGCTTCACGTTGAGAAATTCTGAATAATATTTCGCAGCCGAGTGTCAGAGATATCAGTATTCGTGATGGATTGAAACGATATGCGAATATGTTTGCGGAATGTCTGTACACGATGGCAAGTTGTATTAGTTCCAAGTCAGTACCAGCTGGTGGACTATAATTTTAAGACTAATCATTTATGCGAGTGTCGTAATACCTAATCGTAAGATCTAACGCGAAGTAAATTCCGCAAAGATAAAAATATAGCGGCTGAAGATGGTCATGGAAGCATAACAAACGGCGATAGTACGAGCGGCGAATTGCGATAAAATATTTTGGACTTTCATGTCCTGCAATATATTTATCGTGGGACGCAGCCGTGCCTGTAAGTAAGCAGAGCTTCATAATTTTTACTTAAAACAAATAGTAGTTATTTGCTGACGTTAAGGAATAAAAGGTCTTCGTACTTTTAAGGAAAAAATATGAAATCTAGTCTCTTACAGGTGAATATAATGTTACAACATGGAGATGCATAATATCATGTGTGATATACATATTTTCAAAGAGAGATTTGAGCTTTGCTAAAATTAACGATTCTCAGAACTTAAAGCGACAACATTTGCAATGTGATTTACATAACTGCAATTTGTGCAATTGCAATTTCAATTATCTCAATCGCTATGCAGATTTACCTATAATCGTTACAGTGATAGTGACCCCGATATTATAGATCAATTTCACGCCAAACCCCTTTAATAGCGACATGCAATCTCCGCGCCCATAGCTCGTTGCAGCTACAAATAGATACCGATCCATCGTTAGATGTAAAAGGAGGAAGTTTGGAAAAGAGGAAAATTCCTTGTTCCACTTTTCTTCTTTGATCGTTGACAGGAAAGGTGCTTAGAAAAGACGCAAAGAAAAAGAAACAGAAAGGAAATCTCAAGAGAGGAGGAGGGGGGGGGAGGGAAAGAAGAACAAATAAAGAAAGAGGATTCTAGAATCGTGGCAAAAAGCTTTGGATTGGGTTTGGCTAGCTGACTACGTAATCGTGCATCGTTTTTCCTGCATTATGGATTACATCAGGGATAATCGTGCTAGTATTTACGAGGCTTTTCAACACAAAGGAGTTACATCTTGAGTTCTACTTCTCTATTCTGTTTATCCACGACGAGAAACATTTACTGTTAAACCATAAGCCGCACGTCTTTGCTATTTACATGCATTATTGCTATTATTGCAAACTGTATTTCTCACATCTTAATATGTCCATTTGCTTGCACTTTAGAATTTTGAGTTATTTTCCATTACTGCGCAAAAACATCATTTTTTCTTCGACAAATTGTGTTTCTGCAATTTATATTTTACAATTGCAAGCATTTGTAGTGCATCAATCTTCCAATTCAGGTATAAATTTAATTCGATCGTCGATTCATCGTTGTGTTATCGATAGATGACAAAAATATTTTTTTAATACGTTTGAGGAAAGCTTTGGGAGAACAAATTTTCACCGCGTTCAATGCGGGGGTTCATTTTAGCGTCAATTATAATGGTTGTTGA